AAGACACAAGTTTGATATTTTTGTTAAATAACTGATCAGAATGCTTATAGTTTATTTTGTTACATGGCTAAAACAAACGTCGCTACTATCGTAATAAATGTGTAAATGTTAGCTAATTTATATAAACAATGCGTATAATTTTTTTATAGTATTCATCGAAATTACATACAATTAAAATTATGCTTTTCTTTTACTAACCCAGCATAGAAAATTCCTATTTTAGTATTTATTTCGCGTTAAGTAAATTCAATTCAAACTTCATAAATAACATTCTGATATGTCGGTCATAAATTCGAATGTACATTTTTGTGTCGTATTTTGTTAATATGCCGTCGCCACAGAAAAATAGAACATATTGATAAAAATTCTAGCCCTATATAGGGGCAATGGAAACACATGGAATGTTCTATTATACTTATAGTTTTTTAAATCAATCAACTAAATCCATCAACTGAATCAAGGAAAGAATAATCGGTCTTTCTGAATTCTGATTTCTGGTACTGATATTTTTGAAATATACAAGTTCGTGACATTTATGAATCTGGTCAGACTGAATAAATGTGGCATAACATTCAAAAACAAAGCTCTCTCAGCGTGTCAGGAAAAGAACATTACGACTTATTTACAAAAAGGGTATTACTAGCTGTGGTAGTTTCTTTCATCTGAGATATGTTAGTCAGAAAGAAATTGTTTACTTTTAGCGCCTCTCAAGAAATACGTTAATTAGCTATAAATTATGCAAAAATCATTGATTATGGGCTCCAGAAAATCTTAACTCGCGCCAAATACAGATTGATACCCGCAAGTTTTTCTTCAGATCTTCTGAAAGTAAGTGTAAATCATTACAGCCAAGCACATTTCAGCGTAATTTTAGGTCCCCATTTGGAGATCTCAAGCTTCGATTTTAGTGTAATTTTGTAGACCGAACAAGAAGCAAAAAACCGGTGTGCCGTCAAGTCGCTGTCGTTTATTCACAATTTATTCAAATGCTCTTATTTTTTGGAACAGGGAACCAGAATTGTATCTTAACTTGTTGATCTAGTTGAAATTTGGAAATAGTCAGGCGTTTTGACACAGCGCGGCTCTACAATTTACCGAAATTCAACCTTCGATTTTGCTTGAAATTAGCTCTGCACGGGTAAAATGAGTTTCGGCGTCAAGCGAAGCCATAAAAAAGAATTTTCAAAAAATAAATTTATTTTGGACACTTGTATACCAATGCCTTTCAACACACAAAAAATAAAGGAAATCTATTTTCCGAAGTCAAATTCATCGGACCGCTCTTAGCGGGACTGCCACTTAAGTCTTTTGTCTTTAAAACAATGTCGATTTCTTGGGAAATTACGAGGTTGCGCTTTTTTATACACTCTGTAGGTTAATGCAGTTCATTTCGCTTGGTATTAATGGCTTCATAACTGCATGCTTGTGCTAAAAACAAATTGACATGTCTTTGTTTTTATGGTTCGCGATTTCTGGCTATGCATGACTATGAATATTATATGATAGCCAGATAGGAGTATAGTACTCCTCTGCGCTTTGAGAAACTAAGCCAGCGTGTTAAATTAGTCAACTTAAGTCTTAACGCTTATATTTAATCGTTATAATTAGCCGTCCACATTCTTGAGAAGCTTTAGACTATTGTGATTGTGTTCACAACGAACAGTAGAAAAGACAATGTCTTTCTTATCATTTGCGCGGCCGCGTTTGCTAATATATTTGCTGAAAATTAATTTTATGTATATATTAATTGCTACGAATACAGTCAAAAATTGCTTGTATTTCGCTTCTAAAGTCAAAAATGAAAAATCGAACACCTTCAATCGATGCGGAATATTGCTTAGAATAATTATGTCAAGTTTCATTCCGATCGGACAAGTAATGACGGAGCCTTAAGGTTTTTTCAAAACCCTCGGCATAAGATTCTCTTAAAATAACAGCCAATCAGGTTTATTTCCCGTGATAGTACTCGAGTAGCTGATATTCAGGCTAATGATCAACTAGTGTCCTTTGAAGTCAATGAAGTAATATCAACACAATAGTGAACTTTGTGACAGGATTAAGTACTTGTACATTAAGTGGACAAAATTGCTCTGTTATATCCTGCAGAAGTCACATCGCAGGGCAGAATGCCAGAATACAATCGCGGCCAGTTTCGGCCATTTCCCTTCCCTACATGGACTATTCACACTATGCAGAGGCCGCGGAAGCATTTCGAAAGTGGAGGGGCATTGACCGAAAGGGGCACTTTTGTATATGACCAGAATCAAACGATTTTATGATGTTCACGAGCCGAACGAAAATTTTTGAAAATATGGAGTCTCTGTAACGTCGGAAATGGCCTTTACAGAGTCTTTACTACTGCGAAAAGGGCATTTTCTTTCCAGAAAAAGAGGGCGTTTATTCAAGAAATACTTTTTTCGTTTTTTAAATGGGGCATTTTAGCCCAGAAAAAAGGGCACTTTTTTCACTTTTAAGAAAAGTGGGGGGCACATGCCCCCATTGCCCCCCCCCCGGTTCCGCGGCCCCTGACACTATGCCTAATTCTTAATAACTTTTACAGGAAACAAAATCTTCATGAGGAGAGACCATAACTTATGCCAGTGTTAAAGACGATTGCATGGTAGGCATTTTCTTTAAAAATCCCTTCTGAAAGCATTGAAATATTTTTGACCTGATTTCCGTAACTTAAAAGCAAATAGTTGTTATTTCGATCAACCGAGCATCATCGTATTAGAACATGAAATGAAAGTTACTCCAGCCAATATAAAAATAGGTACGCCAAGTGTATATTAAAAAGCCGGGGTTAAAAATGCTTATGAATTTTGTTTCGTGCATATCTGTGAAATCTACATGTTGAAATTTTAATTGAAGCTGTGCGCTATTATCTAGCTCGATATTATAGTAGTTTCGGCGAAAATTACAGTACGCAAATTTTAGTCAAAAAACAAACGGTCAAACTGCAATGTTCGCGAACATTTTTGATCGCAACGAACAACTTGGTTTTTTGGCTAAATTTTCATGCAGGAAATGTCTAAGGTCGGTCACCAAAACGTCATAACAAATCCGTCCCACTTTTAAGTGGAACCTCAATACCAAACCCATTCCACTTTTAATTTTTTTATTTATTTAAATAATACCCTCGAGTTCAGCATAAAAACAGGCAGTGCCAGTGGTGGAAATTCAGTAAACTTAGAACTTCACTGACCAACTGAGTTACAGAGGCCAGTTGTCAAGCTCTAACCACAAGTTCATGTATGTATATACTGTATTAGGGTACTGCCGTGTATATAAAGAATTTTGTGGCATCTCACTTGAATTAATAGTATTCAATGAGTATTGTACATTCAATGAGTATTGAGTATACAATTTCCACCTACATTTATTAGACATATATGATGCTGCTTAATACATGTTTATTTTACTGTTTATGCCCGATTTTATTATAAACACAAAAGATTGTCCATGTATAACCTCCCCCCTTGTATATAAGCCCCCCCCCCTCCCTTGTATAAGCCCATCAAAAATTGCTTATGAAAGTATATAAGCCCAGGGCTTATAGTCAGAAGTTTATGGTATAAAGATTTGTGTGGATAATGAATAATATTTTATGGGTATTGTAGATGGAAATTGTCAAGTGGAAATTTATATACAGTACATTTATTCCTGAAGATCTTAGTAACCAGGAAAAGACGCAAAAAATGTAACTTTAAGTTCCTGCCCTGGCAGGAATTGAACCCACAAGCCTGCGATTCCGATGCAGTGCTCTGAGCTAAAGAGGCCAGTTGTCGAGCTCTATCCACAAGTTCATGAATGTATATATTAGGGTACTGCCATATATAGGATATGGGTAAATATTGCAAAAAATGCAACTTTAGGTTCCTGGCAGGAATTAAACCTGTGACCCTGTGATTGCCGTGCAGTTCTCTGACCAACTGAGCTACAGAGGCCAGTTATCAAGCTGTAACCACAAGTTAATGTATGTATATATTAGGGTGTACTGCCATGTATATAAAGAATTTTGTAGCATCTCACTTGAATGAATAATATTCAATGAGTATTGTATATTCAATGAGTATTGAGTATACAATTTCCACCTACATTTATTAGACATATAGCTACAACAAAAGCAAAAACTTCAATTTTAGGTCTCGGGCAGGAATTATACCTGCTGTCCTACCATTCTGGTGCATTGCTCTGAGCAAGCTCTAACCACAAGTTCATGAATGTGTATACTAGGGTACAGCCTGGCATAAGTTTCATGGGTAAATACCCGACCGTAAACCTTCGACTATAGCCCCCCCCCCACCGAATATAAGCCTTCCACCATGTATAGGCCCACCACATGTGCTAACGCTCAACCACATCCCAAATAATTATAACATAAGCCGCCTCCCCAAATATAAGACACACACACACCGCGAATATAAGTCCCCCAAATTAATATAAGCCCAGTGACGCTGCTTAATATATGTTTATTTTCCTGTTTATGCCCGACTTGTTTATAAACACAAAAAATTGCCCATGTATAAGCACCCCTACTTGTATATAAGCCCCCCCCCCACCTCCCCTTGTATTAACCAATCATAAATTGCTTACGAAAGTATGTAAGCCCAGGGCTTATAGTCAGAGGTTTATGGTATAAAGATTTGTGTGGATAATGAATAATATTTGATGGGTATTGTACATGGAAATTGTCAAGTGGAAATTTATGTACAGTTAATTTATTCCTAAAGACTTTAGTAACTAGGAATAAAAGCAAAAAAAAAACTTTAACTCCCTGCCCTTGCAGGAATTGAACCCGCAGGCCTGCGACTCCGATGCAGTGCTCTGAGCTAGAGAGCCCAGTTGTCGAGCTCTATCTACAAGTTCATGAATCATATACTAGGGTACTGCCACATATAGGATATGGGTAAATATAGCAAAAATGCAACTTTAGGTTCCTGGCAGGAATTAAACCTGTGGCCCTGTGATTCCAGTGCAGTTCTCTGACCAACTGAGCTAAGCCAAGTGGTTAGCGCACTTGCCTTTCACCTCTGAGGCTGCAGGTTCGAATCTCACTAAGTACCTTCTCAGTGCGACTCGAACCCAGTCCGCATGTGAAAAGAGTAAAAGTCAACGCTCTGCCGAACGCCGTGGGTTTTCCCCGGGTACTCCGGTTTCCTCCCACAGGGAAAAGTCGACAGGGTGGGTTAGGTAAAAAGGGCCCACAGTAATTGGCATATGCTGTTGTGGTGACCCTGCCCTAGTTGGCGAAGCTAATAAAAAAAATAAAAAAAAAGAGGCCAGTTGTCAAGTTCTAACCAGAACCTTGTGAATGTATATCCTAGGGTACTGCCATATGTATAGGTGCTTACTGTATGGGTAAATAGCTGAGAGATGTTTGGATTGCTGTCTCCCATCTTGTGAAATTTATTGTTCTCATTAATCTGCTTAGCAGTAATAAAAGTTCACAAAAAACCCTTCTCTGTTATTTTATATTCCCATCCTATCTACAGTATGAAATGTCAGATTGTTTATTAACTGGGTCTAACGCCACATAAAGTTAGGTCTGTTAGCAACCAAGGTGTTATACTCTTGCATTTTATTAAATAAAATGGCTAAAGTTAAATATTATATGCTTCAGGTGAAATTAAATTTCTTAATGAAAGGTAACACACATATGAACATTTCGATCAATTCTTTAGTCGGTTTGGGAACAAACTTTCAACAAACAATGTTCTATAAACAGTTAGGGCAATTCCATTTAATGTACCCCCCCCCCCCCTACAGACGAGTTTTTCTGAAGGGTGACTCAAAAGTCGTTTCTGAGGGGTTAAGCCTGTCGGCATCCTTTGATCTCTGCGATATTTCTCAGGGGTAAGGGGAACATTTTCAAATTTCTGAGGGGTGTTTTGTGTTGGCACTTTGATCTTTTTTTTTAGGGGTTCAAAATTTACTGACTTCATCCGTAGGGGGGGGGGGTGGATATTAAATAGAATGGCCCTTAATAAAGGTATTAAAACAAATTACTTGAACAAGCTTTCATTGGTAAGGATGCAAAATTTGTGTCTTACAGTACTTTAATTAACCTTTTAATGGCTCTGTTATACTGTGCCTCAGGCTCAGTCAACACAATATGAATGGCAAAGCATACTATATAAAATTTAAATTCTATGAGTGGATTCTACTGCATGAATATTGATACAATACAATACATGTCTCATCCACAGAGTCTTGTGGAACGCCTTGTGCATGCCTCAATTGTCCTTTAATTGTTTCAAAAACAATTCGTACAGTTTTAAATTTTTATCCAGTAAAGCTTTCATTTAAAAAAACCTTGCCCGATGTGGATATATACTCAGAGTAACACCAGAAACATCAAACAGAAACTTACACGAAGTTTCTAACTGGAGCCGAGTAAACATTGGCAGCATGCGGACACAGAGTAAATATACTACAGTATCTACTCTGTGATGTGGAAGATTGGGTCGAGTATAAATATGAAAATTATATGGCCGCGGCTCTCTCCTCCGCAGAGGTTTCAGTGTTATCGATGAAAGCGGGAAACCTCTGCCAGAAGTCACGACCAATAGTTCAAAATACCTGGGGGGGGGAGGAGTTCGTGAGAAATTTATTAATTGTTATTGTTACATGTAAGCATCGTTTACACTACGCTCAATGTTTGGTACCGTACCACTTTTTGGTTCTTGGTACGGGTACCAATTTTATCCGTGCCGTACCATAAATTGAGCGTAGTGTAAACAGGGCTGTTATTGTTAATTTGTTATTCTCAAAACTGTTTCTATCCATGGACGACGCAAATTTAGTAAAAAGACTTGACCTAAAACACTCTTGTTTCGGGAAGCGTTATTGTTAGAATGGAGGAATGGGAAAACGTGTTGTGGTTGTTCTACAGAATATGGGAAAATCGAAATATTTTAAAAAAATGGACTCTATGTCCATTTAATACAGATCGCTTCATCGGCGATCGGATTTCAGCAAAAAAACAACGGTTAAAATAGGAGTAGAACTACTGCAGGACTTGGTTGCAACTTAAACTTTTAACAATCTCCAAAAGCTTTCCAATATGAGGCGATTAATTTATTTTTTTATTTTAATAAAAAACCCAAATTCATCTCAGCCTGAGTGTACTGTCACTGTCATGAGTTCTCATGTGTAGAGTCCTATTGGCTATAATTCTACATTATATACATTGAATTGTGTTAAGTTATCACTTTAGATTATTTCTGTCTTGTTGTCTTTTCCGTTACCCCCACTCCAGAGACTGTATTATTATGTTTAATGTGAGGAATTACTAAAACTCATCAATCCAAGCCTGCGCAATATATCCAACCCTCACATCTTTGTTATTATGAATCGTGGAAAAGGTGATGTTGTACTGCTACGCAACAAACATTGGATAGAGAAGCTGAATGGAAACTTTTAAAACATCCAAATAATCTGATCCTTACTGCAGTATGTATTTTGAAATACTGAGCTAATGTGATTTACTAATATCATACTATTGTTTTTGCCACAGCCTCACTTTGCCCCTACATATGAAATATTTTAAGATTTAAGCAAGGCATGGTGGTTAAAACAAGAGTATGTATGGCGTATATGGAAGTATGGAAATGTGTTGGCGTCGATTTATCCAAACCAACTATTAATATGTTTGCAAGATATTCCTAATTTATCAACCATGTGCAAATGTTGTCTCGAGATGTCGGTGACATCTGCTTTGAAAAACGACCATTTTAATGTCTTTTCATGTTGGCGTCGATTTATCCAAACCAACTATTAATATGTTCGCAAAATATTCCTAATTTATTAACCATGTGCAAATGTGGTCTCGACATGTCTTTTCATGTTGGCGTGGATTTTTTCAAACCAACAATTAATATGCTGATCGGTGACCACTGCTTTTAAAATGATCAAAATCTCTTCTTTAGTTTTATTACACTCAAACCTATTGAAAATTTTGATCTTTTCTGCATTTTTTTGCACACGTAATATTTTTTGGCAAAATTACAGCAAAATGTTAACTTTTAGCATAGGACATTATGAGATTTTACATTTGTGGACATTTTTCTCACATGAGGTGTATTTGTCCATTTTTTTAAGTAAATAGAATTATATCACACTTTGCTCTGGAACGCGTTTCAAGTTCTACGCAGTCTTTCGCAGATGAAATGTGAATCACACTGTTTGATGCGTACTTGACATAAATTGTAATGGTGACATAAATTGTAATATGATTAAGTCACCAAAAGACTCCAGTACCAAAAACGGCAAAAAGTTAATATTTCTGAGCACATTATATAACTTAGAGCAATTGATCAAGGAGCCAACTAGAGTCACAAGCAGATCATCATCTTTAATTGATCTAGTGTTTACCAATCACCCCAATAACATTTCCAATAGTGGTGTTATTGACTTGGGAATGTCAGATCACAGTTTAATTTATGCGGTGAAAAAAGTGACCGTGCCTAAATATAGACAAACCCGTTCCAAAGTTAGAAATTTCAAAAGATTTAATGAAACTGATTTTATTGAGGAACTGTCCAGAATACCTTGGTATTTAGCTACACAGTATATGAACCCGAACGATAATTGGCATGTCTGGAAATCTTTTTTTTTGAAGCTCTTGACAGAGACTGATGCACCCTTAATTTATAAAAGCATTAAGCACAATTCTGTTCCCTTGATAAATTCCAACATTAAGAAGCTAAATAAGATCCAGAGACTATCATAAAAAGAGAGCAAAAAAAAATAATTCCCAGGTTCACTGGGATAAATATAAATCGGAGAGAAATAAAGTTAACTCGGAAATGAAAAGGGCCAAAACTGTCTATTATCAAACAAGAATTAAGGAATTTTCCCTAGCTAAAGGTCCTAAAGACATGAAAAAAACATGGTCACTGATAAACACCCTATTGGACAAAGGTGGGAAATCATCTAATATTGCAGAAATTAATATTAATGGAATAATATATAATGATCGCAAACAAATAGCTGAACACTTAAACGACTATTTTGTTAATATTAGTCGAATACTCGCTGCTGAATGTGAACGTCTTTTCAGTCTTTCGGATTATGAAGATTTGCATTGTAATTCAACTGGTGAAAATTCAAAATTCTATTTCCATACAAATACTGAAACGAATATTCTAAAAGGCTACCGGAGCTGATGGAATACCAGCCAAAATGCTGAAGTTATATATCTTGTGATCGATATTATTTCCCCATGCATCCTTAACCTATATATTTAATCTCTTAATTTCTACCGGGATATATGTTGATGATTGGAAAAGAGCTAGGGTAATACCTGTTTATAAAACAGAAGATAGAACGAAATGTGAAAACTATCGCCGGATATCTATTCTTCCCATTATCAGCAAATTATTTGAGAAAGAAGTATTTGGACAGCTCTATCAATTCTGATAGATGATTCTCTACTTTCACGTTTTCAATCGGGTTTCCGGCCCAAACATTCGACACTGTCCTTATTATTAATAGAAATGAGTGACAATTAGTTTGAAAATATGGATAATGGAGAAATAACCGGACAAATTTCAGTTGATTTTAGGAGAGCCTTTGACTCTATTGATCATAAAATCCTATTAAGGAAGATGCAAGACCAGTTTTGTGTTCAAGATTTTGAGCTAAAATGGTCCCAATCCTATTTGACAAAACAAAGCCAAATTTGTGTTGTCGATGGCCACACATCGTTGGCCAAGGAAATTGTATGCGGAGTTCCACAGGGATCTATTTTGGGACCCCTCATGTTTTTACTATATATAAATGATTTGCCAGAATGTCTGAAAAACACAACTCCTGGCATGTATGCTGATGATACTCAAATATATGCATCTTCCGCAAGTTTCTCCGAACTAGTAACCAAACTTAATCAGGATTTAGAAAATATAGTCAAATGGCTCTCTCGAAATAAATTGCAACTTCACACAAAAAAGACAAAAGCAATGTTTATAGGATCACCCTATCACTTAAAAAACAAAGTTGGTAATGAACAGGTTATAATAAATGATTAATCGTTTAATGTAAATTTCCCGCTTAGTCTGACGCCAACTCTAATTTATTTATTTTCGCTTTTCTTGCATAGGCCAGTCTATATTGCAAATTAATTTTGAAGATGAAATTTCTTTTTGCAACTTTTATTATTTCCATTTTAGTTTTCTCAGGTAAGAACTGTTTATCAGGTGACGACATAAACCTTTCTTTCCAACGTACGCGTGTTAAAAAATTGCTTAATTAAAGGTGCTTTATAATATGTGTAATAATATGATTCTGTCATTTGAAAGATGTTTTAAATGATATATTGGGCCCGAGAAATCTTTCCCGTATTTTGTCCGGTAGCAAAGGCTAGCTGGCTTTCATGTGCGAATGAACAATGGATTGCGTTATGAAGGACACTTTTTAATTTAAATGCTAATGATTAATGTATTCTGTTCAGAGGAGGTTGGACAGCCAATTAGGCGAACATCTCGACCAATCAGATTGCGCCATTTTCCTCATGATCGCACGAAGCTTTTGGCATCGAAAATTTACATAGGGCTCATAAATATCGATTTTTTTCATATTGTTATGCAAATTTTTTGGGAAATTCACGCGATACTACTTTTACAACAGTCAAACTACCCATTGGAACGGTATCTTAAAAGCTAAGCGTTATTTTCCAGTTTATTTTGACCTCTCAATTAAGCGTTATGAAATTTAATGGCGTTTCTGTCAACAATCTTTGAAGACAAAAATCTCAAATCTCCATGGTTCAATTTCGCTATTTTTTTCACGATTAGTTGAATAAAAGTATAATCTTTAATTCTATCCAGCCGGTCCCCCTCGGCCCCTCAACCGTTTTCGAGATATTCAACGTTGAATATAGCCCTTTGTAAAGAAATTTGATATACTATAGAAGTTTCGATATACTATGGATTTATATATATTGGTTAAAGTATGTAAATAATTAAAGCACTTCTGTAACAATATTTTATTGGTGAAATTCATTGCTTGGCTGATGTTTTAGATTTGAGATTGGTGATTTTGGCTAGTGGATTCTATTTTTGGCAATGATTTCGTCTGCAAGAATTAAGCATCATCATTAAATTTGGAGTTATAAACTTGTTCACCTCTCTGGTGATGTTACTGATATGATGACTTGACATGACTTCTGGACTTTCGAAACTAACCCAGCGACAACAAGAACAACTACTCATCCACCTGTTTCAAAAATGGCTGGTAAAACTTAATCCTGGTTTAGATGCTAAATTTGTCCCTCATCCCACTTGTTGCCAAGGCTATGTCTGTACTTCATGCTGGTAAAAAAGACAATCTGATTTATAACTCTGCTCGATGCTTTGGAGAACAACGCCATGGAGATGTTGGCCCTATAAGGGTCATTCCATTTAAAATCCACCCCCCCCCCCACGGATAAGGTCAGTAAAATTTTAACCCCTTAGAAAAAAAGATCAAAGTGCCGACACAAAACCCTCCTCAGAAATTTGTAATTTTTCCCCTTACCCCTCAGGAAAATTGCAGAGATCAAAGGATGCCGACAGGCTTGGCCCCTCAGAAACGAATTTTTGAGTCACCCTTCAGAAAAACTCATCCGTAAGGGGGGGGGGGGGCATTAAATGGAATGGCCCTAAGGCTATAATGTCATTGGATAGAATGCCCTTGGCCTTTATAGCAGTGAAGGCCCCTTGGCCTTTTTTAACAGTATTTTGTATAAATGCTGTTACACAACTAATTCAGATAAAGTTTGAGAAATGGTGGTTTTTATGCACCTATCAATGTTAAGCCCCAGAGAGGGGGGTCCCACATATGTGGGGCATTTGATTTTTTTTATCAAATTTTCAATAAAATGCCCCACTGTTGGGCAATAAATATTGGTCAAATACTCTAGCATTTTGCAATAAATTGCAATAAATACTATATTAATATAAGTCAAAATAGTTCAAATTGCCCTAACTTGGGCCCAAATGCTAATCCATAGTTAACTATGGCTAATCAAAACAGTGCATTTTTTAAGGATTCTTCAGTGGTGGGGCAAAACTGCCAAACTCAGGGCCCATTTTCCTTGCCTTTCCCCAACATGGTATGCGATCGCCGAAGGTGTGAGCACAGTATATACCGCAGGCACGAGTTAGCTTAGCTAGGAGGTTGAAGGTGGGGGCATGTTCTCCCCCCAGGAAATTTTTAAAATTTGGGTTTCTGAAATAGCATTTCCTGCATTCTAAGAACACATTTTAAAAAAATCTCAGCTTCTCAAAACAAAGTTTTAATGGTTAAATTTGTAATAAATTGCATGCTAAACATTCAAATATAACATAAGTTTAAGTATGCTCACAAACAAATTTTGTTTTTTAAACTTCTTTTCAATGTTAAACTCATTTACTCAATACAGGTCCCAGGGCCCTGCCTTTGGGGCAATAGGCCATTTTTTTCTTCAGTGATGGGGCAGAGGAAGGGGCCCAGTGGTGCAAATGCCCCACCAGTTCATGGTAGTTCATGCCTTGAATCAAATCCCTAGGGTGGAGATGCAATTAATGATCAAATGCCCCACATATGCGCAACCCCTCCTCTAGGAGTTAACATTGATAGGTGCATTATATGCAGGTTTTTCTTGTATTCTCATATAATGTGCCTTAATTAAAGTATCAGCAGCATGTTATTGTGGGACCTTTAATTGATCAATATTATTGTATATAAATAGACATATTTTTGTTTTATTGTAGCATTAATTTTAATGCAAATTTGCTCACAAAGTTGGTCAAGTGAATGTATAAACTATTTAGTTATTCATTTAGTACAGCACATGTTACAATTATGTACTTAATTGCACGAGTGTGCATGACAGACATTGTTTTATTTGCACCCACTTGTGATTAAATTAACCTAGTTTTTGTTTAATTTAAAAATGCTGAAAAAAACCCTAAAAAGTTAGCCAATTGAAATAACAGCATTTCTATAACTTGCTAAAGCTAGTCAGTTGCTATTATATCACAAACATCTGTCAACGTACACTCATGCTCTTATTTAAAACTTGAGTCTCCCACTCACCACGTTGCTTTGTGAAATTGTTGGATAAAATCCTATTTTAAACTCAACCCTATACTTGATATGCTGAACTTAGACCTCTAAGATATCTCCTGCGGCAATTAATGGGTGTAAATACTCGCATAGTTCAGAAGCAATATAACCAGCATGTGTCCATCCTGTTCCATAGTCTAGATCAATTGCACTTGGGTCCATTGAATTCAATTGCTCTGGCCAATGAAGAGCAAGGTGTGCCTGTTCCAAAATGATGTTGGTAGTTTTTCTTATGAGCAGCACTGATGCACTTGAATGGTACAGCATGGGTGATTTTGTCCTCGTCACTTTCATCCTCATCACTTAACTGGTCACCACTTTCGACTCTGCCCTATCACCTTTATTACCACTTTCTGCCCTATCACCTTCATTACCTGACCAGGTTCAAATAGATTTCTTTCTACAAAATCATAACAAGAAAAATTTTATTATTTTATACATACACTGTAATCTCTAAAATTAGCAACCTAGTGCAAAAGTGTGTCACTATTTACAGTAATATTAGAACAACACAAATATGGCAATATTATTTTCAGATGAAAATTGAAAAATATGTAAAAATCTATCCACAACTAGATACAAACAGGCATCATACTTCAGCAAAAATTTATTAAACAATTTGTTTAACTCAAAACATGTACATAATGTATCACAGTGACACAGTACATAGTAGACACACACACACAATAGGGTCAAACTAGAGGCAATAAACACAAATATTACGCTATAATTTTGTACTGTGTATTTATGAAATTACAGCACTGCACAGTACAGTACAAGAATAAAAACAACAAAGCGGAAATTTGACTAAATAACAAGATAACTGTAATACATTG